ACGTGTTCCCCCGTTACACATTTCTAACGTGTAACGGGCGTGAAAGCGAGACAAACAGACAGAGTTACTTCGCATATATAATATTTGTAAGAATATCGCTATTAAAAATAGGGGTTGGTGACAGACGGGCCAAAATTTAGGCGTGTATGTAACATTATAAATAAATAAAAAATTGTCCATAATACAAAAAAAAAAAATTCTGGCCACCCAAATATGACTTAGGGGTATAAAAAATAGATAACAACCCTACCTCAGACCTATAAGTATACATATCAAATTTCACCAAAATGTGGGAGAAATATGGCAACTAACACTGTGATACGAAGTTTATATATAAGATATAGCGGAATTCTCATTAGGGAAAAGAGCGCGGAATTCTCATAAGGTACATCGTAGAATACATGAGGACTATACCAGTAAATTCATTGTAGCTAAAACCAGTCTCTTACACATAACGATTGAAATAAAAAATCATATAGCCCGATGTTGATACGTACGAGTATAAACGTATCAAAATCGGGCTATACGTATAGCGCAGACGCGTTACAACATATCTTCGTCGAGAGAAAAAATAGGCATGGAATGTAGAATAAACTATAACATAATATATACATTGGCACATAAGCCATATCTGCAGGGTATCGGCTAACGATATTATACCTACACATTTACATTGAATCTTGAATCGTCCCTAATGAGGTACACGATACAGTTACCTACATATCTTGTATATACCTATCTTTGCAAAACAGATGTCATGTAGACTGAATTGACTGCCATCTATTTTCGTGCTTTGTTACTAAGCACCCACTAGTAATCCGAACTGCTTCAGATCTAGAGACATCTAGCGGCTACGGCGGCGAAATAAAATAGCCCGAAGAATAGCCCGAGTTAGGAAGGAACCATTTTCTTGTATGGGATGGGGTATCTGTATGTAATATTATGTTATATGTGATACATATATAGAATTTTTTTTCATACGTCCCAGAGTACTGAAATGGCAACGGCAACAAAGCACAATACCTACTGTATGCAGGAGAAAAACTTGAAAATAAACTCATTACGGTGAAAGACATTGGGATTTTCATCAGGATTAAATTAGTATAGACTTTGTTACATTATTGTAATATTAAATGATGTATCATGCCGGCATATTTTAGGATAGAAGTGACTTGTGTATTAATTTACGCTATAGTCTGTTACAAATTTCATTTAAATTGCTTTAGTTGTTTTGTCATGATTGATCAACGAACTATTTTAAAAACTTTCACGTTTATAACATAAGTCGGATTTAAGTAGACTTTGCTGGAAACTCGATTCCCGGTAAATTAGGACAGGGACTAATCTGCCATTTTAAAGCTTAGCCTAGAAATTGTTAAAATTCTGTAATTAAATAGTTACTAAATGATACTTTTAGAGATAATATCGAAGTAAAAAGATTGACAATTCAGGTATTTTATCTAAATCTATTTTGTTATATCACGCAGATTAATTTGAAATGTGGTATTCGTTTAGAATCAACATGCGAAGAGACTGAGGAAGATCGTAAGACAAAAGCTCTACCGACAAGAGCGCGGCTCTTTATTATTACATAGTATAAAACAAAGTCGCTGTCGGTGTCTGTCCGTCCCTAAGTATGCTTAAATCTTTAAAACTACGCAACGTATTTTTTAAAAGATAGAGTGATTCAAGAGGAAGGTTTATATGTATAATATATGTACACCCGGGCGAGGCCGGGGCAAGTAGCTATATAATATAAGATGATAATATTATGAATTAATGAGTATTTTTGCGCATCGACATTATTTGAAGTAAACATCAAACATTCTCACATTAAAATGCAAAGAACAATATATTACTCGTAATAGTTGATACAAGCATCCAGCCACTAAAGTAGGTAGAATGGATTAAGGCGCATTTGAAGGTTGTTAGCGAAACAATTTCTAAATAAATCTACATTTAAATTACAAAGTTTGTTATGATACAATTTACATGCCTGCCTTAGAAAGTTATTAGCTTGTAACCTATCAAAGTTCTGTTTATAGTTATTTATTGCAGGCAAGTCTATTATTTCTAGATCACAATTAGGAGCTTAACGAAAACAAACGTATACTTATTATATACCATTATTTACATGTCATTATTGAAGGGAATGACTAACAATTTACTATTTTTATAGCAAAGGAGTAAACGAGCTTACACTTTACCTGATGGGTAAGTGATTACCGCCGCCCTCGAGTACTTGCATCACTAGCGGAATTACATGTGTTTGTGTTTTTTTACCTTGTTATTGATTAACCTGTATAAATGAATTTCATTTCAATGCCAAACTTTGAACAACATACTTTACCGAAGTTATATAAGTATATATTCCCTTCCATAATGTGTCTATAACGTTTAGATTTGGAAATGCAATATTATTATGTGCTATACTCAGTACCCATGTAAATATTATAACAACATTTATTTCACTAGTAAGGATAGCTTTACATGGATATAGGCACTTTAATTTTAGAAATATAACAGTAGAAATTAATTCCGATGAACTAAATACGCTTTACAGCGTGAAGGAAATAACCGAATTATAAAAGAGCAATAAAATTTGTTCCAAGAGCAACATAAAAAGACAAAATCTACGCCGAAAACGTTTTACGCTAAGAGGTAAGTAACGTGAAGAAAATTCTTAGGTGACATAGAAATTTCGACTAGCAAATACGACTTTAGAGGCAATAAAAACAAATAAAAAGAGCATCATAAGGTTGGATCATAACTCATTGTTTTGTTACTTTCAAGGCGGGTGGGATGCTCGTTTTATGTGTGCATTAGGTAATGGATTTGAGCCATATCTTACGGCAATCTGAGGGCAGAGAGTACGTGCTCCGAGATGGTAGTCGGACGAAACAACGCCGGTTGCCGACGATCTCACGATTTTTGCAATGGCACTTCATATTACTAGGTGATATAAAATATTGTCAATGACGTCATGCATATGGGTCGGAATTTTGTTAAGCGGAAATGTTACGCATTTAGATAAAATCAATAAAACAAGGTCGTTGGAAAATGACTGACTCTAAACTCAGAAATACAATGTTATAAAGTTATGGGATTGTCTACGTTTTATGTTACGTTAGTCGAAACGCCAGAAACAAACTTTGTAATTTAGGTGGCCAGAACTATTTTGTTGTAATTTCATACTTTTACATAAAGCAAAAACTTACCAACGAGTATTAAATTTGTAATTATATCTGCTTACCATGTATGTATAATAGAAATATGTATAATTTAAAGGACCTAGGATAAACCGTCAATGTCATAATAGATTCGTGATAGTTTGTAATCATTATAATCAGCTAACTCATAAACTATGTAAATCTAACGACAAATGGCCAAATCAAAAATATAGTGCGTGATGTGAAATAAAATTATAGTCAGAGATAGTGCTCAAGCGTGAAACTAAATTTGCTAAAATAATGAAATATTTAGTTAACGGTTATTATTTTAATTTCACTTGTGGATTTTCTCAATTTTCCTATATTATTAGGAGAACCTTTGCAACACCAAAACATTGCGTTTAAATTGTTAATCATTTGAACTGTAGTGACCTAAATATAAAATGTGTAATTTAGTGGTTATGCTTTTTAAATTATTTATTTATTTCAGGTCACTAATAGCCCATGTTTTAAAATAGTAACTCACAATTGATTACATTCGGGTACCGTGTATATTAGCTCTATTGAATGACCAGTTTAAGTTTTAGAATGAAAAATAAGATCAAATTGTTTTGTTATAAGATAATCTTTTGTGTGATTCTTGTAATAATTGTTAAGAAAACTCGTGTTTGTTAAATTGTCAACCTGCCATAGTTTACAAGATCAGAGCATACCATAATAATAGTGAATGCCATAGCAATAAAGTTTGTGACAAGCGCATCCTTGTAAACAGCAAAATTATACCGGGGCTAAACGACGGGCCGGGGTTTCACATAAGTATCACCATGTGTGTTACTAAACTTACGCACCCTATAATTTAGCCCACATTATTTTTTAAAGTAAATAAAACCGTGTCCTTTAATCAGTCATTTTTAATGTCAGTTATATGGAGAATTGTGACTCTATTGGAGATATTATATATATTATATTATAGAGGATAATCGCGGACATCATCGAGTTGTATATGGTAGATATTAATTTATTAAAACAAGTTTTGTTATTTTTAAAACAGTACACGTGAATTGGTTATGACGTCATTACATATATCTAAACAATTAAGATCGTGGGCATGGGAATTTTCGTGAAGTTATTAGGTATCTGTGCATTTTTTAATAGAAACTAAAATAAACATTAGATACTAATTCTCCTATATTCTATCCTCTGAATATAGAATAGAATAGAAAATCATTTATTCAAATAAACTTAATGTAAGTACTTTTGAATAGTCAACATTTTTTTAAATCTACCGCTTATTCGGAAAGCTGTCTCATCACAAGAAGAATAAGCAAGAAACTTGTGTGTTGCTCTTTTAAACAATCCTTGTAAGTTCACATTTTACTAGTCGAAACGTGTGAATACAAACTACCAACCAGCACTAATTTATTTAGGCTCAAATATAAAAACACAATAAGATTAAATCAGTCGTAGTGATAAGAGCAGAATATCCTTTGAAACATTTGCTCTATGCATATGCATAGGTGTATATATATTTACACAAAAAAAGCTGTGCATTAATGACAACAATGGCTTCTAAGAACGATTTAGTGACATCTACATTATCTGACATCTGTTTCTTTCTGAGATTTTAATCTTCAAATAGAAACTCATCTTACCAAGGTGGTAGCTGATTGGCGGCAGTAAATAGAGATATACAGAAAGAACGTAGAGACAACTACGCAACGAAAAATTCAGATATATAATTTTTCACAGTTAACGGCGTTGTTGCTAAAGTACCTACTCACAGAAAGAAAAATAAGAGACGCTTTTAATATTCTGAAGTACTATACTTACTTGAAAATCCATCAGCGTGAAACACCAAAGCGACGGTTAACAGCGCCGTCTTCCAGTTCATTGTGAATCTGAAATAAGAAAATTGGGGCTATATTTATTTGGTGAGTTAACTTAATATTAATCCCTCTTTCAGGATTGCCTAAAATTTTGTAAAAAATACTGGGAATCTTAGGTACTTATTAATTCTCTACTTATTAACTATTACACTATAATTTGCATGCCAGATAAAACTGGCAAAACATGTGTGTATATTGTATTGAAACTATGTTTTAAGCAAATAAATAAATAAAATCAGAATGATTGTATCATCATCATAAGAAATGAAAAAAATATTTTAGATACGAGAGCACTAATCAATATACGAGTATGTAGTAGATAACATAAGTAAGATTTCTATAGAATAAAAAGATCTAGTAAATCAACAATAAATGATCTATGTGCAGGCACTTATTTGTAAATTGGGTTGATTTATAATTTAATATGGAAATTCTGAATACTGACGCCCTACCTACAGTCTGGATTTTTAGCAGTTTTTTTAAGGATAATGCATTTATTTTAGAAATATAAAAAGTAATTTAAAAAAATAAACAATTAGTAATATCTATCATAATCTACTTATTCAGACATTTAATAGTCCATTTCTTCTTTGTACATCATTTTATAAAGTCAAATAAACCCTATCATAAATGTTACAGACAACATAACGTAAAGACATTAAAACTGCAGCTGTTCTTTTGCATTGTGATTTTTATACACAGCAGTTTAGATCTGATTAGTGCAAGCTGCAGTATACAATGTAGAGAGAGACATCGTTGGAGGGGCACAAGATGAAATAGCTCGCCGACACGTGTATTTCAGAGCTGCACGTCTGTCCGACAGTTCAGCTGAAACTTTATGACACCTAGCTAACATTCCCGGAGCAATTTCGCCAAAACTGTTTCGTATAACCTCGTTACCAACTACTGCGCCACTATAGGTAAACGGCAAACGTTTGCGGATATGGCACAAGTTGTTTCCGTTTATTGAAAACTTTGTGATGTACATTGTTTTGTTAAGAGCCCCAAGACGATCAGTTGCAAATAGCCATATTACATTATCAATCATACAATTGAAGAGATTGTCAAAGCTAACTTACGGCATATTACGGTAACTTGACGGCGATATTGAATTATGACTATTTTTTCTAGATAATAAACTACTATACGACTATACGATTAAACTGCATTTGGAACTTGTACGTTGTTAGTATGATATAGTAGTAATTGCTAGTTTGCTTAGTAGTGAAAACCTTTAATAAGAAATTAAATATGTAGTGTCATAGCGCTAAGGTAAGTACTATAAAATTCCATAATATTAGATTACTTAAAAGTTTTTCCCTATTTATTTAAGAGGAATGTTAACAAATAGGGAAAACCATATTCGAGTTAAGTACATATAAGAGTAAATATTTATAAATTTAATAGTCATAATTTTGATAGGCAATAGAAACTTTGGTAGTCTTGCGTATTACGTGTGGTTTTGAAATAAAGAAGCGAACATTAGTGGCGGCCTGCCGTTGGACTAACTGCACTATATTAATCGGAACGGATCAAAATCACTAATAATTCTGACCGATGTTTCAGAAGTTGTCACTTCAACTATTCAGGCAAACAATATCAACAACAAAATTATGATCCGTCCAGCTTTATACTGTTCACATTATCGTTTATTCTACTTGTCCATGTCAATTTTGTTCTGAATATTGGATGAAGGGCATTCCATATAAAGTTCAAGTGTAATTCCAGATGTCAGCTCGAATTTGTTATTAAAGAAAATACTAAAGACGAAAGACATGTAACAAGAATAGTTGATAGATCACAAATGGCAACTTTATGTCTTTGGTTCGAACAAACATACGTAACCTCCAGAAGATATATTTTTAGGATTATTACGTGTGTCATTCAATCTTGATAAAGGACACCGACAGGGCAATAAAAGAAACGACAAATGATTAGCGTCATATCCCGAGATCTATTCGCCGACGAGAGCACACTAACGAAATATTATCTACAACGCAATATAGCATAAATGCAGTAATTTAAAAAAAATAACCATATCACTGAAGATTTTACATAGTTGATGAATTATAGTTACAAATAATAAATCACTTATAATTTGATTTACAATGGACTATGTTATTTACTTACTGGGTTATGTAAAAAAAGATAAAATAAATTCTTGTTAAAGAATAGTCAAAATACACGTTACACCACACCACATATTCACTATTGGATTAATCTACTGAAATATTCCATAAAATATTGTCCTTATAAAAATAAATAAGATTTGAAAAAAGAATAATTCTACTAAAGTAACACGATGAAATAAATATGGGAGTTAAATGTAGGGATAGTGACACGGTGGGGTGTGCCCTAATGTCTTAGGTCACTGAAGGTCACTTGGGTTGGGAGGTTGACTTTACACGCAACTTCACTCTGTTAGCAGCAATTGTTGACTGAATTAGGCTGACCATTATTAAATGTCTATATATACAAAGTTTATTGTACACATATTTTCCTATAGTATTTTTATTACGTAATCCAGATGGACACAGAATCTTTTAGTCTACCCATGTAAATAAAACTACATATATTACGTGATAAAACAAAGGTAATAAATATCATATGACAAAGAAAAAGCGTTAAAATAATATTACACGATATCGTTAATTATTGGTGTACATTTTAAAATACGATGACAAATAAAAAAAAACTTATTTTTTATTTCTATTATAATATATACTTATATATAACAAAGTGAAGGTAAACAAAATTTTTTGCTACGATATCGATTCACGGAATATCATTTACGTATTTAACATAACTGTTTTACCTTCTGAGGTGGACTGAGATTAGAACTAATGGTAAAGCGCTGATTAAAAACACTGGTGTAGAAATTAAAGGATCCCGTGGGGGATATTACATGCCATAGAGCAGAAATTGGATAGCGATACGAGAGATATATTGCCCGACATAAAGCCGTGCTCGGTAACTTTCTACCCATTTCCGGCAGCCCACTTGTGAATCGTATTTCGGAATCCTTTTTATCTTTTTGCGGCTGGTGTGTGGCGGAACGCGATGTGACAGCGGCACCGAGCCACTTCGCAGCTCATATATCACTTGAGCCTGTAACGGCGCTGTTAACGGCCTGCATGTCACCTCCGCGCTTCACCCGTCCAACACCGCACAACTCTATTATCTGTATAATAGAACTGTTATATTTCATATTAGTGGCTACTACGGGTCACAATAATAAAATAGGACTTCGCTTCGCAGTCCTAAACCTATTGGGTGAAGTGGTTTCGGGTGATACATATGTAGAATGGAGAATTTGTTTTACCATTATCTACTACCGAATATGGTATAACACTCGATTTCTGCAAAATGTTAGGTTTCATATGATTTATGATTCTGATATAAGATAACGAAAGTCGTTTTAATGGGTAGCGGATCCAAAGAATTTACACTCGTGTGAAGTTAGTATGAACCCTTGTAGTAAATAATTAATTATTTCGTTTACGTTTATTATAGGTGTTTAAAACAGTGTAGGTAGTTTTCGTAGAAAGGTCGTCAATAAAATACACAGTACAAAATAATATGATGGTATTACCGTTTATAATCACTTTGCACTAACTTCCGGAAATAACATTGAATTTCAATATAATAAATAAAATTACTCTACACTGTCATTTAGTTTCAAACTAAGTAGAGCTTGTAACATGATTACTATATGACCAGGTAAAATGTTCCACACCATCTAAATCATAAATCATCAATATATGTACATATATTAAAATGTTAAAACTATCTATTATTTAATTTTAATAAAACTCTGCGAACAAACACTAAAATAAAGTAACTAAAACCAGTGCATTGAAAGGACGACAATTGAGTCGAGATTACAGTATCTACTCGGATATACAGACGCTCCGAGTACGTGACCATTCGACGTATAAACTAGCTAAAAAGATTTGCCACGTTCAAAATCCGTGGGCGATGCATCGCTGCCGGCTTCCAGTCCACAAATTCAAGGATTGCATGGAGACGGTGTAAAGCAAGGGTGTCACTAGGATTTATATCGGCGGAAATCTCCAATGTTCAGACTTGAAGCCGAGGACACACGGTAAACGTGGTAGGTGGAATCTTGTCAGCTTTTAAGGATTTTATGGGTGCTTACGTCCGACTAAACCAGACTTGCTTATGTTTTATCACATACTATGAAGTGAATATTATAGATAAATCACAGTAATGTTATCGAAAACTGTGGTATCAATTACAATTATGAGCATTTTAAAATCCTCTAATACTGTGGGTATTGGATAATACATGACCACTAAATAAATTTCGATTTATACGTGTAGTCCACTAAATCTACAAAGACTTTAAATAATATTAAAGATAAAAACTTTGAAGTATTTTAAGGCAGTGCCTTAACTTTTTGGAAGTTTTTAATAAAATATATCTTTTCACATTTTCAATAGAATTTAATAAGATTTTGAAAGACACCAGATTTAATATAAGTTTTGAAACTCTTTAGCTACTGCTCACAGATTTATTGCGTTTTTTAGGTCCTTACCTCAATACAATTATTATTACAATTTTAGAGTTCTACATAAAAAACCATATGAATAATTTATTGAACTGATTACTAATATTATATTTTATTAATTAATTACGAAGTTAAATAAAGAAGTCTACATAAAGAGATATACATACATACCTAAAAATACATATATAAATACACACCTAAATTGGTATTTGGTCAATATTGTGGTATATCTGTATTTCTTGAATATTGAAATTATCACTTTTAATATAAAAAATGTCTTACCAAAGTATTTTAGCCACAGTTTAGTTATTTGTTTAGCAACAGTTTACCACAAAATAATATGACAAATTACACAAAAAATAGTGAACTGATTATTATAATTTATAATAATATTGAGACGGCACTGAATGGAGTTCTTTCAATTGAACTACTGAACATAAAACTGATAACGGTGCGTGATTTGTAAATGAGATCATACTTA